GGTGAAAGGCCACTGCCATGACTCAACACCAGCTAAAACAGGGTAAGAGAGAGCCACTGCCATGACTCAACACAGCTAAAACAAGGGTGAGAGCCACTGACACTTGAAGCTCAACACGGCTAAAGCAAGGGTAGAGAGCCACTGACGCTTGACTCAGCTTACAGCCTAAAACAAGGAGATTGAAGGCGACCAGCCATCATCTTTATCCTAAATAGGATTACAAAATTGACTCTGTTATTCTAATCATCGCCAGTTTCGTATGTCTGTCTGCCCGTTTGTCATATCTGTGTTTGAATCTTTCTGTCTATCTATATGCTTGTTTATCTGTCTCAATAATCTCCAGTCTGTCTATGCATCTGCCTGTTTATTTGACACCTGTCTGTGTGTATCTCTGTGTTTGCATGTCGGTGTCTACTTATTTGTCTGTCTGCCTGTTCTCTAGATGCAATGCCTGTCTCTCTACTCTTTAATCTTCTGTCTATCTGTCTATCTATCTGTCTGTCTGCCTATATCTGTGTAAGCCTGTGCAAGGATCTATTTTGCCTGTCTGTTTGTATGTATACGCCTCAATGTAACAACTTGAGAGCAGAATAATTCACAGCCCAGTATTCATATCTTGCACATTACGTATATTTACCATAATCAACCCTAAAACTACAATTTTTTTATCGTCCAGGTCATAGGTCAAGGTTAGTTTAGGTTAGGTTAAGTTGGTTAATTTACGCACGAGTTGGCATTTTTCCACGAGTCAATCACTACCTTGGGGTGTAGGTTAGGTTAGGTTAGGTTAGGTTAGGTTAGTCTTCTGGTGAAATGGGCTGCTAGGGGATTATTCATTTTAATGTGGTCGAAACTATACATCAATAAACACAACACTTGGACCTCCCAGAGATTTTTCTAGTGTTACTGTTTAAAATCAATAAACAGCACAACCTTGGAAGTGTCATTTTACGGTGAGGTGAGTCAGTGTCATTCACAACCGGAAATATACACAACTTTCAAGAGAACAACACAGGATCTATTATAGAGAGAGAGAGAGAGAGAGAGAGAGAGAGAGAGAGAGAGGACAAACATTTAATACTCTTACTCTGCATCGTCTGAGAAACGCTGTTATTGGTCAGGCCAGGAAACTTACCTGTAAAAGACAAAAAACAAAAATTAACATGACATACACACACACACACACACACACACACACACACACACACACACACACACGCACACACACATATATATTAACGGGGTTATATATATAAATCTCCTACATCACTGCTTGAAATTCACAATATGAAATAAAATTCAGTGAAATTATAACCCATGGCGCCACGTATTAACACCACCTAGGTACACTTCGATGACAACACCTATATAACGCCATGGTTGTACTCAAGAGATGAAACTTCATTGTACTCAAGGGGTTAATACATTGTACTCAAGAAATGGACTTAAGTACACCTGGAAGAACCAAAATATGCCTTGATGGACTAGACAGGTGTGTTGCATCTTAATACAAGTCAGGGGGTGTGTTCGGGTCTGATGCCGCCACAGTGTTGACGAAGATAGAAAAATATACAATAAACAAGAAAGGGGAAAATGGGGTGAGAAAAGACGGTCAATATAGAGGATAGATTGAGATGATAAATGCAGGAAGAACGCTGAACTTTGAGTCAACACTACTATAATAATGCAAGATGAACGCTGGGAGAGAACACGAGTTGTTTGACTGAGAAGAAGGACGGAACACCTGACAGCGACTCGGAACATAAAAGAAGTTTTCAAGGTACAATTAGCTGTTGAAAAAATAATAATATACAATGAAAATGAATATATGAATTTATAATGAGTTTAGAAGGTTAGGTATTTATTATTATTATTATTATTATTATTATTATTATTATTATTATTATTATTATTATTATTATTATTATTATTATTATTATTATTATTATTATTATTATTATTTTCAAATCTCAATGGCATTTGATATAGAAGAAAAAACAAATTCGAAGAAAAATGGATAAAAAATGAGAGAAGAAACAAAGAAATACAGTAATATTAACCGAGGAAAATGACAAAATAGGAAGAAATTGAGGTAAAAAGGAAATAAAAAAGGTAAGAAATTAAGAAAGGATCAAATGAAGAAGAAAACCACCAATTAAAGATAATACTTAAAAAAATAAACGAAAAGGAAGAACCAAAACAACAACAACAGACGCTGGAAAAGCCGACGATCTTGGCGCCTTCAACCAGACCGTATATGAGTGAAGTGTATGTTTGACTGTCAGGGAGTGTCTGTGTCCTAGTAAGCGGTGACAGTTCGGTGTATCCTCCTCTTTCTCCTCGTCGTCGTCACAGGGTGTTGTATATCTTGATGGTCAGTCACCCACCAGCGCCTCCTAACTAGATAATATAACCTAACAAATATCTCCATCATGCAAGTGTTTTATTTATTTTATTTATTCTATTATTTACTCTTATTACTATTTCTTCCATTTCCTTTTTGTTACTTTTTTATGTCATTTTCCTGTTTGTTTTAAGTATTTACTTTTATTTCTATGTCAGTCATTACTTCTTTGGAGTTTCTTTTTTTTTCTTTATTCGTCTGATTGCTCTCTCTCTCTCTCTCTCTCTTTTTCTCTCTCTCTCTCTCTCTCTGACTGTCTGACTGCTGTCTATCCTCTCTCTCTCTCTCTCTCTCTCTGCTGTCTGTCTCTCTCTCTCTCTCTCTCTCTCTCTCTCTCTCTCTCTCTCTCTCTCTCTCTCTCTACTGTCCTGTTTCTCTATCCTCTCTCTCTCTCTCTCTCTCTCTCTCTCTCTCTCTCTCTCTCTCTCTCTCTCTCTCTCTTTCTCTCTCTGTGCGTCTGTCAGTGTCTGTCTATCTCTCGCATATACACCCTAGACAGGAAAAGCTTAACGTCATTGCAACACACATCATCATTATCATCCGTTATTTTTTGTTCATGTTTCCTCACCTCCGTTACGTCTGTTCTCCACTTCCTCTATCCCTTTGTTCACCATTTGTCTGCTTCCTCTCTCAAGCTTCCCACAGTCGAGCAAAAGTTAGGTAATTTCTCAAAACTATCAACATTATTTACCCTATTCTTGTATTTATTTTCCTGTAACATTTATCGTTTCTCCCTATATTTTATTTACTTATCGTCGTCTTGTCTCTCATTAAAGCCCTAGATCGAAGAAACGTCAATAGCGTAAATTAAGCATAACACAAGATTTGCCCACCTAATTGATATTTTCACCTGCTGATTAATTACCTTACACTACCTGGGTTGGTGGGATTGGGTTAGGTTAGGTTAAGTTGGGTTAAATCTGAATTATACTCAGTTTATAAATTGTAACATCGACATATATCTACGACATTATAAATAAATGTATAATTTGGCTTCTCTTTTTCCCCGTTACAACTGTAAGAACAGACTGCTGATTAAGAGCCTGAACCAACCACGAGGATAAGATTATAATTAGGTAGACATAGTTCCTTAGTATGAAATAAACATCAAGTCATCCTAAGAGAACATTGGAACATTTGGTGATACTTTAACATGTAAACAATGTCTCAGGTCATCCTCTGTAAACTTATAGAACGTCTACTGAGATACAGACCAATATTTATGACCTTCCGTCATCCGTTCCACAAACACTCGCCGGAAAGCCTGGACCATATGTGTGTGTGTGTGTGTGTGTGTGTGTGCAGGATGGAACTGGGCCAAGACCGACTGGGAACGCTCTGGGAATGGCCAAGGAAATATGGAAGATAAAGATGCGGGCCATGAGGGCTCGCTACACTTGAGTGCTGTTGGCGCCTGGTGGTGATGTGACGTTGGTGTTGGTGATGGTTGGTAGTGTGGTTATAATGGTGGTGGTGATGGTGGTATTGGGGGTGGCGGTGATACTCCTGGTGGTGATGGTGTTTTGTTCTGGGGTGATGGTGTTGGTGGTAGTGATATTAGTGGTGGTGGTGGTGATGGTGTTTCGGTAGTGGTGGTGGAGGTAGTGCCTTTGACGTACTGTAGATCTTGGTTCAAATATCCTCTCATTGTTTGTCTGTCTGTTTGGTTATCTCAATATCTTTCTGTCTGTTTTCATCTTTTCTATCATCTCTTATCATATTCCAATATAGTCAGTTCATTTTCGAATTATACCATAAATTACTAAGACTGTCTTTTATTCATTTTTCATTCAACAATTTCCATTTATACCGAGAACAAAAATCGCAACGTAATACAAAATAATAATTTAACGATATTTACAGACATGAACGATAAAATATACCGAAAACCAACACTACAAATTTTAATATTTAGCAGATTATTAAGTACAGGATTGAAATAAATTAGATAAATATAATGGAAACGTATCAATTCATTAACAGAAGTGTATAACAATAATGAAAATCAGTAAGATCTAAACTATAAGAATATAAATAATCTTAATACCTCCGTTAAGGTTAATTAACCGACAGGTATAATAACTCAGCAGCAACAAGTTGATAATTTCCCACCACCAACAGGATGATTCAGCCGCACTTAACACCGTCTCCTCCAATACGACTTTATGATGATACGAGTGATAATATGAGTAATATTTGACAGTTATTCGTTAGTAGCACACACACACACACACACACACACACAACACACACACAGACACACACACACACACACACACACACACACACACACACACACACACACACACACACACACACACACACACACAATTTTAAAAATAGATTTACAGACACTGAGAAAAGGGACTATATCTGGCTGGATCCTTCCTGGTGTACACATAAAACTTGTGTGCAAAGTCCAGATGTAGGTCTCAGGTGGTCTCCAGGTGTAGTCTCCAGGTAGGCCTGTGTGTCTCCAGGTGTAGGTCTCCAGGTGTAGGTCCCCAGGTGTAGGTCTCCAGGTGTAGGCTTCCAGGTGTAGGTCTCCAGGTGTAGGTCTCTAGGTGTAGGTCTCAGGTGTGTCTCCAGGCGGTCTCTAGGTAGGCTCAGGTGTTGGTCTCTGAGGTGTAGGTCTCCAGGTGTAGTCTCCAGGTGGTCTCCGTGTAGGTCTCCAGGCGTAGGTCTCCAGGCGTAGGTTTCCAGGTGTAGGTTTCAGGTGTAGGTGTCCAGGTGTAGGCTCTCCAGGTGTAGGACTCCAGGTGTAGGTCTGTCTCAGGTGTAGGTCTCCAGGTGTAGGTCCCCAGGTGTAGGTCTCCAGGTGGTCTCCAGGTGTAGACCCAGGTGTAGGTCTCCAGGTGTAGGGTCTCCAGGTGTAGGTTCCAGGTGTAGGTCTGGTGTATGACTCCAGGTGTAGGTCCCAGGTGTAGGTCTCCAGGTGTAGGTCTCTAGGTGTTGGTCTCCAGGAACAGGTCAGTTTGATTAAGGGTGTATTAGAAGGTGTAGTACGTAGGTGAAACAAGTTTGGGTCTCGTATGGATGTTGTGTGGGTGTTGTGTGGGTGTTGTGTGGGTGTTGTGTGGAATGTGGTGTGGTGTAATGTAGAGTGCTGTGTGGGTGTTGTGTGAGTGTTGTTTGGGTGTTGTGTGGGTGTTGTGTGGGTGTAGGGTGCTGTGGGTATAGTGTGGTGTTGTATTGAATGCTGTGTGGGTGTTGTGTGGAATGTGGTGCGCTGTGTGTGTATGTAGAGGCTGTGGGTGTTGTGTGAGTGTTGTGTGGGTGTTGTGGTGTCGTGAGTGCTGTGTGGGTGTTGTGTGAGTGTGTGTGGGTGTGTGTGTGTTGTGTGTGGATGTGGTGTGGGTGTCGTGTGAGTCTGTGTGGGTGTTGTGTGAGTGTTGTGTGGGTGTTGTGTGGGGTGTTGTGTGGAATGTGGCGTGGGTGTAATGCGGGTGTTGTGAGGGTGCTGTGTGGGTATGTGGTGTTGTGTGGAATGTGGTGTGGGTGTCGTGTGAGTGCTGTGAGGGGTGTAATGAGTGCTGTGTGGGTGTTGTGAGTGTTGTGTGGGTGTTGTGTGGGTGTTGTGTTGAATGCTGTGGGTGTTGTGAGTGTTGTGTTGAATGCTGTGTGGGTGTTGTGTGGAGTGCTTGAGTGTCCTGTGGGAGCCGCGTGTCTCCCGGCGTGTCTACTTCCCCGGCGTGTCTATCTCCGGCGTGTGTCTATCTCCCCTGGCGTGTGTCTATTCCCTCCTGGCGTGTGTCCTCCCTCCTGGCGTGTGTCTATCTCCCTCCTGGCGTGTGTCTATCTCCCCGGCGTGTGTCTATCTCCTCCTGTGTCTATCTCCCCGGTGTGTCTATCTCCTCCTGGCGTGTGTCTATCTCCCCGGCGTGTGTCTATCTCCTCCCGCGTGTGTGTCTATCTCCCCTGGCGTGTGTCTATTCCCCCTGGCGTGTGTCTATCTCCCCGGCGTGTGTCTCCCCGGCGTGTGTCTATCTCCCCGGCGTGTGTCTATCTCCTCTGGCGTGTGTCTACTCCCCGGCGTGTCTATCTCCCTGGCGTGTCTATTCCCTCCCGTGCTCATTCCTCGGCGTGTCTATCTCCCCGGCGTCTATCTCCCTCCTGGCGTGTGTCTATCTCCCCGGCGTGTGTCTATCTCCCGGCGTGTGTCTATCTCCCCGGCGTCTCCCCGCGTGTGTCTATCTCCCCGGCGTGCTATCTCCCCGGCGTGTGTCTATCTCCGCGTGTGCTTCCGCTATCTCCTCCCGGCGTCTATCTCCCTCCTGGCGTGCCCCGGCGTGTGTCTATTCCCCCTGGTGTGTCATTCCTCCCGGCGTGTGTCTATCTCCCGGCGTGTGTGTCTATCCCTCCCCGGCGTGTGTCTATCTCCCCCGGCCCCTCGCGTGTGTCTATTCCCCGGCGTGTCTATCTCCCTCCTGGTGTGTCTATCTCCCTGCGCGTGGTCTATCTCCCTGGCGTGTGTCTATCTCCCCCCTCCGGCGTGTGTCTATCTCCCCTCTCTCGGCGTGTGTCTATCTCCTCCTGGCGTGTTCATTCCCCGGCGTGTGTCTATCTCCCCCTGGCGTGTGTCTATCTCCCGGCGTGTGTCTATCTCCCCGGCGTGTGTCTATCTCCCCCGGCGTGTGTCTATCTCCTCCTGGCGTGTGTCTATCTCCCCTGGCGTGTCTATCTCCTGCGTGTGTGCTATCTCCCCGGCGTGTGTCATCTCCCGGCGTGTGTCTATCCTCCTGGCGCTCTCCCCCTGGCGTGTGTCATCTCCCCTTGTGTCTATCTCCCCGGCGTGTGTCTATCTCCCCTGGCGTGTTCATCTCCCCCGGCGTGTGTCTTCCTCCCCTGGCGTGTGTCTATCTCCCCGGCGTGTGCTCTGTCGTCCGCGTGTGTCATCTCCTCCTGGCGTGTGTCATTCCCCATGTGCTCTTCTCCTGGCGTGTGTCTATCTCCCCTGGCGTGTTCTATTCCTGGCGTGTGCCTATCCTCCCCTGGCGTGTCTATCTCCTGGCGTGTGTCTATCTCCGGCGTGCTCATCTCCTCTCTGGCGTGTGTCTATCTCCCCTGGCGTGTGTCATCTCCCTCCTGGCGTGTGTCCTCCTGCGTGTGTCTATCTCCCCGGCGTGTGTCTATCTCCCCGGCGTGTGTCTATCTCCCGTGTCTATATCTCCGGCGTGTCCACTTCCCGGCGTGTGTCTATCTCCTCTGGCGTGTGTCTTATCTCCCGGCGTGTCTATCTCCCCTGGCGTGTGTCTATCTCCCCGGCGTGTGCTCATTCCCTGCCTGGCCTCCTCCGGTGTGTCTATCTCTCCTGGCGTGTGTCTATCTCCCCCTGGCGTGTCTATCTCCCCGGCGTGTGTCTCCATCTCCCTCCTGGCGTGTGTCTATCTCCCCGGCGTGTGCCTATCTCCCTGGCGTGTGCTATCTCCCCGCGCCTATCTCCCCGGCGTGTCTACCTTCCCGGCGTGTGTCTATCTCCCCGGCGTGTGTCTATTCCCCTGGCGTGTGTCTATCTCTCGGCGTGGTCTACTCCCCTGGCGTGTGTCTATCTCCCCGGCGTGTGTCTATCCTCCCTGCGCGTGTGTCTATCTCCTCTGGCGTGTGCTCTCTCTCCCCTGGCGTGTCTATCTCCCCCTGGCGTGTGTCTATTCCCTGGCGTGTCTATCTCCCCCGGCGTGGGCTCTCTTCCTGGCGTGTTCTATCTCCCCGGCGTGTGTCTATCTCCCGGCGTGTCTACATCTCCGGCGTGTGTCTATCTCCCCCCGTGTGCGCCCATCTCCCTCCTGGCGTGTGTCTATCTCCCTGGCGTGTGTCTATCTCCCCTGGCGTGTGTCTATCTCCCGGCGTGTGTCTATCTCCCCCTGGCGTGTGTCTCATCTCCCCTGGCGTGTCTATCTCCCCTGGCGTGCTCCCCGGCGTGTGTCTCTCCCCCGGCGTGTCTATCTCCCGGCGTGTGTCATTCCCCTGGCGTGTGTCTATCTCCCGGCGTGTGTCTATCTCCCCGGCGTGTGTCTATCTTCGGCGTGTGTCTACCCCCGGCGTGTCTGTCTCCCTCCCTGGCGTGTGTCTATCTCCCCTGGCGTGTGTCTATCTCCCCCGGCGTGTGTCTATCTCCCGGCGTTCATCTCCCCGGCGTGTGTCTATCTCCGGCGTGTGTCTATCTCCTCTGGCGTGTGTCTATCTCCCTCCTGGCGGCCTATCTCCCCCGGCGTGTGTCTATCTCCCCGGCGTGTGTCTATTCCCTGCTCATTCCCTGGCGTGTGTCTATCTCCCCCGGCGTGTGTCCTCCACTCCGGCGTGTCTATCTCCCCGGCGTATCTCCGTGTCTCATTCCCTCTGGCATCTCCCCGCGTGTCTGTCTCCCGGCGTGTATCTCCCCGGCGTGTGTCATCTCCCTCTCTGGCGTGTGTCTATCTCCTCCTGGCGTGTGTCTATCTCCCTCCTGGCGTGTGCTCATCTCCCGGCGTGTCTATCTCCTCCTGGCGTGTGTCTATCTCCCCGGCGTGTGTCTATCTCCCCGGTGTGTCTATCTCCTCTGGCGTGTGTCTCCCTCCTGGCGTGTGTCTATCTCCTCTGGCGTGCTCCACCGCGTGTGTCTTCCTCCCGGCGTGGCGTCACTTCCCGGCGTGTGTCATTCCCCGGCGTGTGTCTATCTCCTCCTGGCGTGTGTCATCTCCCCCTGGCGTGTGTCTATCTCCCCCGGCGTGTGTCTATCTCCTCCTGGCGTGTGTCTATCTCTCCTGGCGTGTGCTCCGGTGCTATCTCCCTCTGGGGTGTGTCTATCTCCCCGGCGTGTGTCTATCTCCCCTGCGTGTCTATCTCCCCTGGCGTGTGTCTCCCCGGCGTGTGTCTCATCTCCCTCCTGGCGTGTGTCTATCTCCTCCGGCGTGTGTCTATCTCCCGGCGTGTTCATCTCCCTCCCCGGCGTGTCTATCTCCCCTGGCGTGCTCTATCTCCCTCCGGCGTGTGTCTATCTCCTCCTGGCGTGTGTCTATCTCCCCCGGCGTGTGTCTATTCCCGGCGTGTCTATCTCCCTGGCGTGTGTCATCTCCTGGCGTGTCTATCTCCTCCGGCGTGTGTCTATTCCCCTCCGGCGTGTGCTCTTCTCCCCGGCGTCTATCTCCCTCCTGGTGTGTCTATCTCCCCGGCGTGTGTCTATCTCCTGGCGTGTGTCTATCTCCCCGGCGTGTGCTCCCGGCGTGTGTGTCTATCTCCCCGGCGTGTGTCTATCTCCCCGGCGTGTGTCTATCTCCCCGGCGTGTGTGTCTATCTCCCCGCGTGTGTCTATCTCCTCCTGCGTGTGTCTATCTCCCCCGGCGTGTGTCTATCTCCCTGTGGGCGTGTCTATCTCCCCGGCGTGTGTCCATTCTCCCCCTGGCGTGTGTCTATCTCCCCCGGCGTGTCCATTCCGGCGTGTGTGTCTATCTCCCGGCGTGTGGTTCATCTCCCCGGCGTGTGTCTATCTCCCGGCGTGTGTCTATCTCCCCGGCGTGTGTCTATCCTCCTCCTGGCGTGTGTCTATCTCCCGGCGTGTGTCTATCTCCCCTGTGCCTGCCTCGTGTGCTCATTCCCCTGGCGTGTGTCTATCTCCCGTGTCTCTCCCTCCTGGCGTGTGTCTATCTCCCGGCGTGTGTCTATCTCCTGCGTGCTGTCCTCCCCGGCGTGTGTCTCTCTCCTCCTGGCGTGTGTTCTCCCTCCGGCGTGTATTCCCCTGGCGTGTGCCCTCCTGGTGTGTCTATCTCCCTCCTGGCGTGTGTCTATCTCCGGCGTGTGTCTATCTCCCCTCCGGCGTGTGTCTATCTCCCGGCGTGTCTATCTCCCCGGCGTGTGTCTATCCTCCCCGGCGTGTGTCTATCTCTCCCCCGGCGTGTCTATCTCCCCCGGCGTGTCTTCTCCCGCGTGTCTATCTCCCGGCGTGTGCTCCCCCGGCGTGTGTCTATCTCCCCGGCGTGTGTTC